TCTCGCAGTGCGGGCGAGGTGAAGAGGGGCTCGAGGAACCTCCAAAGTGCCAGTGGTCCACTGTGCAACGACCTGTGGATCTGTTGGGCAATGGCCCCTGCCTGGGCCGGAGGGAGGGCGATTTTGTTATTTATAAAGATCCATCCCTCAGGACCGGGAGAGCCTCCCCCTGCAGGAGTTTATTTTTCTCTTCTTCTGTATATTTGAGGAGTAATGGAGGGAAGGGAAAGGAACAGGACCGGGGCTGGGGACCCTTCACCCTGAGTTAAGCCTCTGGCCACCACGTCTGCTCGGGCGTTTCCCGCATAACCAGCGAGGAGTCCATCTGATGGCCTCGGCAGCGCATGATGGCTACCTGGGAGGGAAGCTGTAAGGCATCAAGTAAGCGGGTTGTGAGTCTAGCGTTGATAATAAGTGAGCCTTTAGTGGAGAGAAAGCCCCCTCCCTCCAAATAACCGCGTGGCAATGGGCTATCACCGTGGTCGGCAAACTGCGGCTCGAGAACCACATGTGGCTCTTTGGCCCCTTGAGTGTGGCTCTTCCTAAGCCTTAGGAGTACCCTAATTAAGTTAATAACAAAGTACCTACCTACATAGTTTAAGTTTTTTAAAAAATATATTTTATTGATTTTTTACAGAGAAGAAGGGAGAGGGATAGAGAGTTAGAAACATCAATGAGAGAGAAACATCGATCAGCTGCCTCCTGCACACCCCCTACTGGGGATGTGCCCGCAACTAAAGTACATGCCCTTGACCAGAATCGAACCTGAGACCCTTCAGTCCGCAGGCCAACACTCTATCCACTGAGCCAAACCAGTTAGGGCTATATAGTTTAAGTTTAAAAAATTTGGCTCTCAAAAGAAATTTCAATCATTGTACTGTTGATATTTGGCACTGTTGACTAATGAGTTTGCCGACCTCTGAGCTATCAGAAAGGAATATTTGGAGTCTGTATATATGTTTGCCCTCCTCCCCTTGGCCAGGTGTAGGGCGCGGGTCAGCGCGATGAGCTTGGCCTTTTGAGAGGTGGTACCCTCTGGGAGTCGGGCCGCCTCCAGGGTCCGCTCGGGTGTTACTACCGCACAGGAGGCTTTCCGACGTCCCTGGGGGTCCAGGCACGAGCTTCCATCCACAAACAGAGTTAAGTCAGGATTAGAGAGAGGAGAGTCTGAGAGTCCTGCCCGAGGCTGAGTGAAGGCCTCGATGACCTCGGGGCAGGAGTGAGTTGCCACAGGTTGGGTGGAGGCAGCGGGAAGGAGAGTGGCCGGGTTCAGGGCTGGGTACTGGGTCAGGGAGATGTCAGGATTCTCGAGGAACAGGAGATGGAGTTCCTGCATGCGAGAGGGGGCAAGGAGAGATAAGGATCGGTGGGACAGGAGACCTTGTAGTCTGTGGGTGGAGAAGACCTGTAAGGGTTGTTGGAGGCAGATCTTTTGGTTCTCCTTGGTGAGGGTGGCAGCTGCAGCCAGAGCCCAGAAGCAGGGCTGCCATCCCTGGACTGTGGGGTCAAGCTGTCTGGACAGGTGCTACGGGAGTGAAGGCTGGCCCAAGGGCTGGGTGAGGACCCCAATAGCCATTCCCTGTCTTTCATCAGTAAATAGTTGGAAAGGCTTAGAGATGTCGGGGAGAGAGAGGGGGGATGCCAGAAGGGTATCCCGGAGCTAAGAGGAAGCCTGGTGAATGAGGGAGGGTAGGAGAGGGGTCCTACTGGCGTTTTTTTAACGGCCTGGTATAGGGGCTTAGCTAGGAGAGCAAAGTTTGGGACCCAATGGCGGAAGAATCCTACAAGTCCCAAAAAGGACAAGATCTGGTCTGCAGAAGTGGGGGGCTGTAGTTCTCCTATTGCCTGTGCTCGGTCAGCTGTCAGTCCTCGGGAATTGGGTGTCAGACAGATCCCCAAGTAAGTGACGGTGGGGGCTGACAGTTGCGCCTTGGCAGGGGACACACGGTATCCCTTGTCCCCTAGAAAGTTGAGGAGATCAGCTGTATGCCTCTGAGACATGTCCAGGGAGGGGCTGCAGAGAAGGAGATCATCTACATACTGGAGAAGAGTGCTGGGTTCTAATGAGCATTGTTGGAGGTCTCTGGCTAGGGCCTGGCCAAACAGGTGAGGAGACTGTCTCTGAACCCCTGGGGCAGGCCCGTCCAGGTGAGTTGGCGGGATACCTGCTCGTCTGGGTCCTCCCAAGGAAATGCAAACAGATGGAAAGAGTCTGGGTCCAGAGGGATGGTAAAGAAGGCATCCTTGAGGTCGAGGATGGAAAAGTGCGTGGTACAGGATGGGATGCGTGAAAGGAGAGTGTAAGGATTAGGGACCACCCGGGTGGATAGGGACCACTTCTTCATTGATCAGCCGGAGGTCCTGAACCAGCCGGTAGGTCCCGTCTGCCTTCCTAACTGGGAGGATGCAGTTATTGCCGGGAGAGTCGGTAGGGATGAGGAGACCCTGCCCCAGAAGCTGAGTAATGAGGGGTTTGAGCCCTCGGTGATGAGTTAGGGAGATAGGAAACTGGGGATGGGAGGGAAACGAGGTGGGGTCCTTAAGTCTAATCTTGACCAGGGCATGGTGTCTAGTAACCACCGGGGTAGAGGTATCCCACACTTTGGGGTCGACAAGGGACGCAGGTAGTGGGGGATCGGTGTCCCCGTGAAGGGAGGAGGCCAGGAGCAGAAGAAGCAGGGAGATTGAAGGGCTCCGAGTGAGCTGCAGAGTGGCCCCTAGTTTGGTGAGGATATCCCGTCCTAAAAGGGGCACGGGGCACGAAGGCATGACTAGGAATGAGTGGGTTATAGGGCTATGATCGAGGAGACAGGGAAGGGGTCCGGTGGCCAGCAGGCAGGTGTATTTGCCGTCAATACCCATGACCGAGATTGTGGAAGGGAAAAGGGGCCCTGAAAAGGAGGGCAGGATAGAGAAGGTAGCCCCCATATCGACCAGGAAGGAGACTGGCTTACCCACTACCTTGAGTGTACCCTGGGCTCAGCGAGAGTGATGGGGGTCGTCGAGTCCGGGCACCTTCAGTCTTCGGCCAGTCCCAGCATGGCCAGGAGCGGGTCATGACCTGGAAGGGTGGCCCCTCCACACTGAGACTCAGAAGGCCCGTCGCTTTTCCAGGGGCAGTCACTTTTCCAGTGGCTGCTTTGACCACACGCCGGGCAGGGCTTGGTTGAAGCTCAGGGCCGGGGGCACTGCTTTGCCCAGTGGCCTTCATTCCCGCACTTGAAACATTCTCCAGGTGGTGTTCGTCCTCTCGTTGCACCTCCCCGCCCCCCCACGCGCACAGCCCCCTTGGGACCATGCGTGGCTGCTGTCGGCCACAGGGCTGCAACCAGGGCTTGGGTTTGCAGGTCTACCTTCTGTCGAAGGCGGGCCTCCTGATCCGACTCTGCCTGCTCCTCACGGGCATTAAAAACCTTAAAGGCCATGTTCACTAGATCTCGGACTGGGGTCTGAGGGCCATCCTCAGCCTTTTTTTTTAACTTTTTCCGAATATCTGGGGCCGACTGCGAGATGAAGTGGGTGGCTAAAACTGTTGCTCCGGCCGGGGACCCAGGGTCCAGATGAGTATACAAAATCAGAGCCTTAGTCAGCCTGTTAAGGAAGACCGCGGGGTTCTCATCTGGTCCCTGAGTAATTTCTCTCAGTTTGTCATAATTAACTACCTTGTGGGAGACGGCCTGTAGGCCGGCCATCAGGCATTGGAGCATCTGGTCTCGGCGTCAGCAACCGTTTTGCCCTCCGGGGGTATCTAGTTGGAACTCCCAGCCTGGCTCTTGGCGAGGAATGGCCTGAGCCCCTACCAGAATATTGGCATCTGTAAGGTGGACCTGATATGCGTGGTCCATTGCTGCCCCCAAGACTCTCTCCTTTTCATCTGACGTTAGGGTGGAAGAAAGAATGACATGGATGTCATGCCAGGTGAGGTCATAGGCCTGAGAGAGGTATCGGAACTCCTTGATGAACACGCTGGGGTTGGCGAAAAAGGACCCCAGCCGCTTCTCAATCTGGGAGAGATCCAACAGAGAGAAGGGAACATGGACCTGGACAACTCCCTCAGACGCGGACGAGTCAGAGGGGAGGAAAGATTTTCGGGGGGTTCAGATAAGGTGGAAAGTAGGCAGAGTAGGTTTCTCACGAGCCAGGAGAACCTGGGCCGTGGAACAGGAGGAGCAGAGGAGGGGTGGGAGCGCAGATAAAAAAAAGGCCTGGACATATGGGACCTTGAGCCACTTCCCAGTTCACCAGCAGAAATTACTGAGGTCAATGAGGATGTTAAAATCAAAGGTCCCATTTTCATGCCATTTTGACCCGTTGCCCAATTCATACTGAGGCTATGCCACGTTACAGAAATAAATGAGGCGTTTAGGATGCAGATCCTGGGACAGGCCTAGTTTAGCCAGGTTGGTGAGCAGGCACCCTAGAGGTGTGCTCGGATCAGGTTTAGAATTTTGATTACCCATGCTCGATACCTGAGGTCAGTAGCTGGGGCTAAAGGATCAGCGTCCCAATAATTTAGCCGAGGCTACGGATGGGCGGAGGGACCAAGGGACAGCAGGGACGTCTCCCCTACCTCCTGGGGTCTGGAGAACCCTTCCCGGAAGGGTCCAGAGAATAGGGGGAAATCTCTGACGCGGCCACACTTTACAGACAGAGACGTCGGCGGACGACCGCCAGGGATCGGCATGGGCCGGGACTTTCCGCTGATGCTGCCGAGCCGGGGGAGAGGCCAGGGAGTCCTGAGCCACAAGAAGGGAGAGGAGGGCACCCCGGACCGTGGGGGGATGGTCAGATGGGGTGCTTGCACCTCCCGGGTTTTGGCACCAAATGTAAGGTTCGCAGCACAGGAGACAAGGTCAGAGAACCAGGCAAGTCGAAAAGAAGGAACTTTAATCTGCACTCCCGGGCGAGGTTCACGGGTCCAAGGGCGGGGCCAGTGAAGTCGCGCCAAAAGGGAATGGAGGCACTTTTTTTATACAGCTGTTCACTGAGGGCAGGGGAGCATGAGCTGTGGGAGTTTCCGCTTCGGGCAGGTCTGTCATGGGTTCCAGGAAGGAACCAGTATCTGCGTCACCATCTGCCTTGCGGTTGCATGCATCGGCTCCTGGACTTCCCTCCGACCTAACACTTATCATCTGAGTTATCCCATCACAGTGATGCTTCTCCTGCTCTGCCTCAAACTCCAGCTCCTGCTCATAATTACAAGGTAAATCTTTATCAGGTGGGCTCTTGACTGCGGTCGCAGGAGCAACAGGCGGAGGCAAAGGAGGCACAGAGGGGGGAAGTGGTATTTTTAGAGATTCGCACCCCTCCACTGTAGGCTGTAAAGCTGTGGCCACATCCTGCTTAGACATTCTTAAACTCTCCTGTGCTGGATCAAGGCAATCATGAATTAAAGACCATAATGTGAATGTAGAAATGGGAATCTTCTCTGGACCTTCTGCTGTGTATCGGTCACGCAACTGCTTTCTGACCTTTTCCCACATTTGAAAGTTGATGGTTCCCTCTTCAGAAAACCAAGGGCAAGTTTCATTAACAAAATTTAAGAAATTAAGAATCTGACTCATTAAAATACCAATGGCATATTTCACAGACCTAGAACGAACTCTCCAAAAATTCATCTGGAATAAAAAATGACCCCGAATAGCTGCAGCGATCCTGAGAAAGAACAAAGTAGGTGGGATCTCAATACCAAATATCAAGCTGTATTACAAAGCCACTGTTCTCAAAACTGCCTGGTACTGGCACAAGAACAGACATATAGATCAGTGGAATAGAATAGAGAGCCCAGAAATCGACCAGAACCAATATGCTCAATTAATATTTGACAAAGGAGGCAAGAACATACAATGGAGTCAAGATAGTCTCTTCAATAAATGGTGTTGGGAAAATTGGACAGATACATGCAAAAAAATGAAACTAGACCACCAACTACACCATACACAAAAATAAACTCAAAATGGATAAAGGACTTAAATGTACGACGGGAAACCATAAAAATACTAGAAGAATCCAAAGGCAACAAAATCTCAGACATATGCTGAAGCAATTTCTTCACCGATACAGCTCCTAGGGCATTGGAAACTAAAGAGAAAATAAACAAATGGGACTACATCAAAATAAAAAGCTTCTGCACAACAAAAGAAACCATCAACAAAACAACAAGAAAGCCCACTGCATGGGAGAACATATTTGCCAATGTTATCTCCAATAAGGGTTTAATCTCCAAAATTTACAGGGAATTCATACAACTTAACAAAAGGAAGATAAACAATCCAATAAAAAAATGGGCAAAGGACCTAAATAGACACTTTTCAAAAGAGGACATTCAGAAAGCCAAGAGACACATGAAAACATGCTCAAAGTCACTAATCATCCGAGAAATGCAAATCAAAACAACAATGAGGTACCATCTCACACCTGTCAGAATGGCTATCATCAACAAATCCACAAACGACAAGTGCTGGAGAGGATGTGGAGAAAAAGGAACACTCGTGCACTGCTGGTGGGAATGCAGACTGGTGCAGCCACTGTGGAGAACAGTATGGAGTTTCCTCAAAAAACTAAAAATGGAACTCCCATTTGACCCTGTGATCTCACTTCTAGGAATATATCCCAAGAAACCAGAAACACCAATCAGAAAGGATATATGCACCCAGATGTTCATAGCAGCACAATTCACCATAGCTAAGATCTGGAAACAGCCTAAGTTCCCATCAGTAGATGAATGGATTAGAAAACTGTGGTACATCTACATGATGGAATACTATGCTGCTGTAAAAAAGAAGGAATTCTTACCATTTGCAACAGCATGGATGGAACTGGAGAGCATTATGCTGAGTGAAATAAGCCAGTCAATGAAGGAAAAATACCACATGATCTCACTCATTTATGGATAATAAAGACCATTATAAACTTATGAACAAAAATAGATCCAGAGCAGAGCAGCCTTGAACAGACTGTCAAACTACAGCAGGAAGGCCGGGGAGGGTTGGGGGGCAGGAGGGGAGGGTAAGAGATCAACCGAAGGACTTGTATGCATGCATATAAGCATAACCAATGGACATAAGACACTGGGGGGTAGGGGAGGCCAGGGGATTGTCAAGGAGAAAAAAAAAGGAGACATATGTAATACTCTTTGTAATACTTTAAACAATAAAACAATTTAAAAAAATAGAATCTGACTACTCTTAACAGAGCATCCTCGAGCTTTGAGCAAAGTTTTAAGCATTTGAGAGTAGAGGTCTTTCCTGAGACCCTGAATTACCCATGTTTTACACCCAGCTAATACAACTTACAACATCCACTCCTTACCTTGCTTCTTTAATCTGTTGCACAGCGCACTTCTCGGAGCACCCTTCGCTTGACTTTTGAGAGTTCCCCTGTACTCAAGTCCCTGGACCCGGGCACCAAATGTAAATATTTCTCTCCTTTCTGCATCCAGTGCGGCCAGAGAGTGGACCAGTTCCTGAGTAGGGGCTGCTGGGGATTGAGAAAATGAAAGAAAGAGACAGACACAGAGATAGAAGGGAAAAGCTGGGGCCGGGTGGGACGGCTGTCCTCTGGTGGAGAGACAGTTACCCAGAGCCAATACAGCACATTCATTTTATATAGCAAAAACCAGGAAGTTTTACTAAAGGTTAAGACAAAGGAGATTATGTGCATTCTTGGGTGGCCGGAGTCATATTCATTCCTGGTACTTGGCTGGATTTAGATAACAAAACCCACCCCCTGGTGCCTGGGCTGAAGGTCAAGCTGACAACACTCCTGCCTCTGTCAAGGTGTGTTTCCAGGACGTGACTCTGCCAATGCCACTGGACTTAGCTGATGATAATTAAAGAAATGACCATGTGCCTTCCCAGGCGCTCTCTACAGTTTCTGTTGACAAATCAGCTGATAGTTGTATGGGCTCTCCCTTATAGGTAACTAACTGCTTTTCTCTTGCTGCTTTTAAGATTCTCTCTTTGTCTTTTGCCATTTGCATTTAATTATGATGTGTCTTGGTGTGATCCTCTTTGGGTTCCTCTTGTTTGGGGTTCTCTATGCTTTCTGGACTTGGGAAGTTTTCTATTATTATTTCTTCAAATAGGTTTTCGATATCTTGTTCTCTCTCTTCTTCTGGCACCCCCATAATTCAGATGTTGGTATGCTTGAAGTTGTCCGAGAGGCTCCTTACACTATTTTCATATTTTTGGATTCTTTTTTCTTTTTGCTCTTTTGGGTGGGTGTTTTTTGCTTCTTCATATTTCAAATCATTGATTTGATTCTCAGGATCCTTTAGTCTACTGTTGAATCCCTGTATATTATTCTTTATTTCAGTCAGTGTATGCTTAATTTCTGACTGATCTTTTCCATTTTGTTGACATTCTCACTAAGATCCTTGAAAGTCTCAATAAGTCCCTTGGAGCAGTGGTCGCCAACATTTCAGACCTCATGGACCACCAGTGGTCTGTGGATCACTGGTTGGCGACTGCTGCTCCAAAAGTTTCCTTAAACCAGTGGTTGCAACCTTTTGGACCTCACAGACCACCAGTGGTCTGCGGACCACCAGTTGGCCACCACTGCCTTGGAGATTTCTAGAAGATTCTTGAGTAACCTTATAACTATGGTTTTGAACTCTATATTCAGTAGTTTGCTTTCTTCCACTTCTTTCATTTGTGACATGTTTCATTGTCTCCGCATTTTGGCTGCTTTCCTGTGTTTGTTTCTATGTATTGGGTAGCTGCTAAGTCTCCTGAGTTGATAGAGTGGCCTTGTGTAGTAGGTGTCCTATAGGACCCAGTGGCTCAGCCTCCCCAATCACCTATGGTGGACAATCTAGGTGCACCCCTGTGTGGGCTGTGTGCACAGTCTTCTTGTAGTTGAGCCTTGATTGCTGTTGGTGTCACTGGGAGGAATTGACCTCCAGGCCAATTGGCTGTTGGGACCAGCTGTGACTACAGTGGGACAGCTGCTGTGCAGGAGACACCCCTATGGAGCAGGACTTGCTTCAGTGGGGCTTTGGTGCTCACTGATTCTGCCCTTGAGTGTGTCACTTATGGATGTGAAGAAGTTGTACTCTGGTATGGTCTCACATTGACCACTGGGTACACTGGCTCTTGGGTCTCCAGGGAGTTGCAAAGTCATCCACTGCCTGGGACCATCCAGCAGGAGCTACAGAGAGAGCTGCAGATTCCTCCTCTTTGTTTCGGGTTTGGAAGTGCCCAGATAAGGCCCAGCTGTGAAGCAAGGCAGGCTGGTGCTGGTGCCGGGTCTTGGGGCTTTTATTGATAGGTTTGGGGCTCCCTGACTCAGCTGCAGCTCGTTTAACAGGTTTTTAGCCTTTGGAAGGACAGGCCATTCATATGCAAAAGCCACTGCGCACAGCTTGGGTGGGGTTGTAAATTGGGTGGGGCAGGGTCTCAGGGAATCACCAGGGCAGAGCAAACAGAGATGGCTGCCAGTCAGCCCTGCAACAGGGGAGGTCCCTGCATGAGAACAATGACTGCTGTGAGCACCTCCATCTGGAAGAAAGCCACCCCCAAGTTCCTGCCCCAATGCCAGTTTCTTCTCATATGTGTCTGGGTCCCCCAGAGCCTCGCCCGACACTAGAGCTCAGAGGAAGCGGGGGCTTGTAAATTCAATTTGTGGTGCTAGCCTTTTAAGAGGAGCAGCTGGATCTCAGTAGCCCATGTGTCATTCAGCCCCAATCTGCACTGGTTTTTACAGCCTGTAGTTCTTACTGCCAGCCCATAGGAACTTCTTTTCCCAGCTCTGGGACCCTAGGATGGGTGTCTGGTGTGGTGCTGGGACTCCTTGCTCCTCTGGGCAGCCTCCACAGAGGTGATCTCCCTCCTGATTAAAAAAAGCGGCACACCTGGGTGCCGGACCAGCCTGTTTTGCGCCTCCGCACCTCCTACCAGTCTCAGAGTGCTTTCTTCTTTACTTCTTTAGTTGTAGGACTTCCATTCAGCCAGCTTTCCGGCAGTTCTGGATGATAGTTGTTCTGTATTTTAGTTGTAATTTTGATGTGGTTGTGGGAAGCAGTGAGCAC